TCCTTATCTCCAAAAATCCCCAAACTTTAGGTATCTCAACAATCATCTTCAATATGATCTCTCTCTCGCCGCCGTCTACCTCCGTCTCCTCCTACCGGAAAATTCCACAGACCCTCCTCATGTAGCCTTTCGATTTCATACACACACCTCTTGATTGATACAAACTTGCTCTTAGCTTCCAATGGCGTCAACGCCTCCACACTGCTCAATCACTGCCACTAAACCTTATCAAAACAACCCTTATCCTCAAAACCAGCTCAAGAATCATCGCCATAGTCCCAATCCACCCAAATACCACCGTCCATGGGCTCCACAACGTTTCTCTCCTTCTTCACTCGGCGGCGGAAACAGAGGCAGAGGCTCTGGAGCTTCGCCGTCTACCTCCGCCGCTGCAGCTACCGGTCAACTATCTCAGACTCCGACCCGTTTCCCTGCTTTATCTCCTCTACAGACTCCAAAATCGGATCTTTCACCGGATTTCTCCGGTCGTCGTTCGACCCGATTCGTCTCTAAGATGCATTTCGGGAGACCCAAAACCGCCATGGCTACGCGTCACAGCTTGATTGCAGAAGACGCGCTTCATCACGCTATTCAGTTTTCCGGTGACGAAGAAGGGATTCATAATCTTCTTTTGAGTTTTGAGTCTAAGCTTTGTGGCTCTGACGATTACACTTACATACTTCGTGAGCTTGGAAATCGAGGTGAGTTCGAGAAAGCTGTTCGCTTTTACGAATTCGCTGTTAAACGAGAGAGGAGGAAGAATGAACAAGGGAAATTAGCAAGTGCTATGATAAGTACTCTTGGTAGATTAGGTAAAGTTGGTATTGCYAAGAGGGTTTTCGAAACTGCTTTAGCTGATGGGTATGGAAACACAGTTTATGCATTCTCTGCTATAATCAGCGCTTATGGACGAAGTGGGTATCATGAAGATGCCATTAAGGTCTATAAGTCCATGAAAAGTTACGGCTTGAGGCCTAATTTGGTTACTTACAATGCTGTGATCGATGCGTGTGGTAAAGGAGGGATGGAGTTTAAGCAAGTAGCAGAGTTTTTCGACGAAATGCAGAGAAACGGGGTGCAACCGGATAGGATTACTTTCAACTCATTGCTAGCTGTTTGTAGTCGTGGAGGATCTTGGGAGGCGGCGAGGAATCTTTTCGATGAAATGTTGAATAGAGGGATCGAGCAAGATATATTTACTTATAATACTCTTTTGGATGCGATATGCAAAGGAGGGCAAATGGATTTGGCTTTTGAGATCCTGGCTCAGATGCCTGCGAAGAATATCATGCCTAATGTTGTGACTTATAGCACTGTGATCGATGGCTATGCTAAGGCTGGTAGATTCAATGACGCGCTTACTCTGTTTGGGGAGATGAAATACCTTGGTATTCCACTGGATAGAGTTTCATACAATACATTGCTTTCGATCTTTGCTAAGCTAGGTAAATTCGAAGAAGCTTTGGATATTGTTAAAGAAATGGCATCTGCTGGGATTAGGAAGGATGCTGTGACTTATAATGCTCTTCTGGGAGGGTACGGGAAGCAGGGAAGATATGATGAAGTGAAGACTGTTTTCGCTGAGATGAAACAGGAGCATGTGTTGCCTAATTTACTTACTTATTCAACCTTGATTGATGTGTATTCGAAAGGAGGTTTGTACAAGGAAGCAATGGAGATATTTAGGGAGTTTAAGAGTGTTGGTTTGAGAGCTGATGTTGTGTTGTACAGTGCATTGATTGATGCGTTATGCAAGAATGGGTTGGTGGAGTCTGCTGTTTCTTTGCTAGATGAGATGACAAAAGAAGGAATCAGCCCAAATGTTGTAACTTACAATTCCATGATCGATGCCTTTGGTCGATCTGCAACTATGGAATGTTTAGCTGACATTAATGAAGGTGGAGCCAGTGGCTTAGAAGAAGAAGATGAATCTTTTTCTTCCTCTTCCATTTCTCTTTCTCCTTCTAATTCATTGCCTCTGGCTGTCGGAAAAGTTGACTCTTTAAGTAAGTTGACTAAAACAGAGGATCATCAGATCGTAAAGATTTTTGGGCAGTTAGTCGCTGAGGGAAATAACCGAACAAAGAAAGATTGTAAGCAGGATATGCAGGAGCTCTCCTGTATATTGGAAGTCTTCCATAAAATGCACGAGCTGGAAATAAAACCGAATGTAGTCACCTTCTCTGCTATTCTAAACGCCTGCAGGTTTGCCCCTCTATTAGATCCTCTTATGAAAGTTAGTGAGTCCAATGTAAACTCCATCTAATAGGATTATTCACAGACTAGCTTCCTTGGATAGTTTGACCGATATAAATGAGAGCATCTGTATATTTTGGGGTTATTCAATTTCTCATTCTTATCATAGGGATATCGACTGCTTAGTTTGTGCCATTTACCATTCGTATTTTCCATTTAGAGGTCCGGTCTTTTCATATGTAGAATTTGATCATTGGGTTTACTTTATTTTCACTGGTGTAACTTAAAATGGTAATATTCCGGCTGGTAGTTGGACATTCTAGCAAGCCTGTGAAGTTTCTTTTCGGTTTTTATATGCAAATCTTGCTGATGGCTTACTTATTCTTGTTAAACATGTTTGTATTGAGAACAGTCGTTGTAACTCGTTTGAAGAGGCTTCAATGCTGTTAGAGGAGCTCAGGCTGTTTGATAATAAGGTATATGGTGTAGCTCATGGACTCCTGATGGGCTATAGAGAGAATGTTTGGGTCCAAGCGCAGAGCTTATTTGATGAGGTTAAGGCAATGGATGGATCAACCGCTTCTGCCTTCTACAATGCTCTAACCGACATGCTTTGGCACTTTGGTCAGGTATAATTTACATCACTATAATACTAATTAAGTAGTTACTTATTTATACTTCTAAGTTTTTATCTATCTAAAACTGAACCGAATCCAAACAAAAACCGAACTTGCAACAAGCCGAAGCAGAATTGACCAAACGGTAAACCGGATTGTCTTACCACGACTAGACTTAACTGCAACGTATTCTGTTGCAGAAACGTGGAGCGCAATTGGTGGTGCTTGAAGGAAGACGTAGAAAAGTTTGGGAGAACGTTTGGTCTGACTCATGCTTGGATTTGCATCTCATGTCTTCTGGCGCTGCACGTGCAATGGTCCACGCATGGCTTCTAAACATACGCTCCATTGTCGATGAAGGTCACGAGTTGCCAAAGCTCTTAAGGTACTAGAACAAAAATAATGTCCCCGGTTTTAGCCCCTAATCGATGATTTAGACTCAATTTTGTCTGTCTGATTGTTTGCTTGCAGCATATTGACGGGTTGGGGAAAACACAGCAAAGTGATGGGAGATGGGACGCTAAGACGAGTGGTGGAGGCGCTATTGAGAGGCATGGGAGCTCCGTTCCATGTAGCTAAATGCAATGTGGGACGGTTCATATCAACCGGTTCGGTGGTTGAAGCTTGGTTAAGAGAATCAGGTACACTCAAAGTCTTGGTCCTCCACGATGATAAACATGAACAAGCATCTCTTCCTCTTCCTTTGTAGTTGCTTATGTATTTTTATTGTGATAAAAAAAAAAAAACAATCTTTTTGTTTTTGATGCTAACAATGTCTGTAATATTTTTTGTAATAACCAACATAAAATGTGGTACATTCCAAAAAAAAACATCTCTTCTTTTCGCTCTCTTTTATCACTCTGGTTTTGAAACATGGATTCAGGTTTGACCGTTTCACTCATGAGTTACAGTCTCTCTTTAAGTAACAAATCAACTTTCTCTCTTTTAATTCTTATTTTTTATTTCAATAAATGACCATTGATTTCTCTCTTTAATGATTATTATCATCGGTCGTACTTACCCTATAGCAAAATATCAAAGCGAAACCAAAAACCAAGTTGGATATTTCGTTTATCATTAGAAGCTGGAACTAAACAAACTAACAAAGTTTCATCATCATAATATTAAAAGAAAAAAAAAAAGTAAACAAGACAACATCAAACATTTTCCTTACCACATTTGCTTATTTTCATCTCTGCAATAAGGTCATCTAAGTCGTTGTAAGAGCTGCCACCTTTTTTTATAGCCTCCACACCTTTCTCTCTCAACTTCATCAACCTAACTCTCTCCGGCAAATCCTCTTTCACCGACTCAGCCAAAACCTTAGCGAGTTCGTCCGGGTCAGGAACAGAGTCTTTGTTCTCTCCAACACGAATCCCTGCTCGTAGTTTATCAACGAGCAGCGTCGTGTTGTAGAAATGATCCGCTTGCATCGGCCAAGCAAGTAGTAAAACACATCCGACCATTCCTTCAAGAACCGAACCCCAACCCATATGAGTCAGGTAAGAACCAACGGCTCGATGCTCAAGGATCATGGTCTGTGGAGACCATCCTCTTATCACAAGTCCTTTCTCCTTCACTCTCTCTTCGAACCCCACCGGAATCACATCTTCGTTATCATCTTCTACGGAGTTTACTTTCTTGGCCGCGTCTCTAACCGTCCATATGAAACGTACACCGCTTTTCTCCAAAGCCGCCGCTAAAGCCGCGGTTTGCTCTGCCGTGAGACGGATCTGACTACCGAAACCGATGTAAACGACTGAGTTATCCTCAGGGCACGAGTCTAACCAAGCCGATACTTTCTCCGGCGGGATTGAGCTTTGTTCGCCGCGGTTAGCCCCGGCTTTAACGGGGAGTAACGGTCCAACGGTCCAAACACGGTGGTGAGTCATGTAACGTGTTTTAACACTCTCTACGAATTCAGGTTCGAGTTCGTAGAAAGTGTTGATTACAACACCATAACTTTCCGTTGTACAAGTCTCGAGCTCGTCGAAGAAGCTTCTATCTTCTTGACCCCACATGGTGTATATAGAGTGAGCATTGATTGGTAAGAAACAAATGGATTTGATAGAGAAAGCATCGGCTACTTTGTTAATCCAAGGGCTGAGGAAAGAGCTTCCGAGGATAACGTCAGGGAGATCGGACGGTGGTTGACGGCTGATAAAGTCAACGAGAGGGTCGTGGAGACGAGAGAGAGCTTCGAACATGTAAGGTAATGCTTGGAGAGGAAGTTGTTGAAGGGTTTCGACGCCTGAAGGAATTAAAGGGTGTGAAGGAAAAGGAAGGGTTAGGGTTTTGAGAGTTTCCGGTGAGTGAAGTGAACGAAGAGTGTCGAGATAAGGAGAGGTTTGGGGAGTGACGAGGACAGTGACAGTGGCTCCACGGAGGAGAATCTGATGAGTTAGGTCGAGATGTGGAACCATGTGTCCGGTTTGTGGAAACGGTACTACAAGAACATGTGGCTTCTTCGTTATTACCGGCATGGCTGATTTTGTTTGTGTTGAATACTTGGTTAGTAGTGTAGTGTCCACTTTGTAAATCAAACGCAATGTATTTAT